AACCTATTGCAATAAAACGGCAATTTCATACTTTAACCCCTAATATTTTCATTTCCTAAAAGACGCATATCTATACAAAACCAAATTTTACGGGAGAGAGTTTTAACGTTATTACTTTGTTATGTTAATGACTACGAATTTGATTTTGGCAGAGTAAGCATTAATGTATGTCGTCTACGGACTGATATAAATAGATTCCAGTAAATCATGCTAGTTCGGTTGCCACGACACTTACGCAGATTTGATTTGACCACGAACTGGAAAGTCTGTCGTAAGGTTCGCGATATTGAAATCAAAGACATTACAAATTGTTTATATTGTGGGCGTACTATGATACCTACAAGGTAAATATTTTAGTCATCAAAAGAAAAAATAATGCGAGTAGCATATTTTCTGTGTTATATATATATTTTTTAACAAATTAAACAATTTTCCAATCATACAATTATTAATTTTAGCGTAAATTAAACAGTGTAACAACTGTAACTAAAAAATACGTAAAAAATACCGAAAATTTACCTGTAGATGGATATTTTCGTAGAAATTGATTAGAACTATACTGTTTTATTTTTAATGTGTATTTTTACAAAATATACAAGATTCCAATTAAACAGTCAATATTTGTAATGTAATTTAGACAGTGTTATTACCATAACTATACTGTAATTAATTATTTATTATTTACCGCGTATAACGGTTTCCGCCCGCAATTTTGAGCAGAAACCGGGCACTTTGGATAAAAACGTTTTTGAAACCCTGGCGGGCCAGATTGTGTTTCAATAATCCACTGTCCATCTCTGCATCTGACGACAGATCCGCGGTGTTGTTATTTATCGATTTCTGACTTTCTGTTGATCAGTCGCAAGGCAGGACCCAATCAAGTAATTTTTAAAATAGTTTTGCATGCCAGTGCACGTAGCACTGGCATGCAAAACTCAAATTGGCTACATGTGTCAGATACACGGAATTATTCAATGCTAGTTACACGTAATTGCACTGCCCCGAACGAAGTCGTTGCAGATTACCATTTTTATACATGGTACAGACTATGGACCACGCAAATATTCCCGATTATTCCATGATGTTTTCCATACAGATACGAAACAGAAGCGCAACGAAAGAAGAGAGAAGAAGAAGAAGATAGACTGAAGGCAGAAGCAGGTACGAACTACCATACAGCCAATATGATCTTGTCACACCTAGTTTTGCGAAGGCCACTAATGCCGCTATGTATCAGTTTACATTGAAAATATATGGGTATACGAATCTCATTTTTTTTTGTTACAGAGGAATTACTACTTGCACGTAAGTACTGTGTGGCATAAGGACTCCTTTTATTTGCCAATTTTGTAGAAAAATGATCATAAATGATAAGTTTCTGTGTAATGTTCACAAATATTGTAGTAGAAATAAATAACAAGTAAGTTAACTAGAATTTTGTGACGCGAAATGAGCGTTTTTTTTAAAGAAGTTGTTTAATTTTCATAATACTTCGATCCTAAAATATTTTTTTTAATTTTTGCACAATTTTGCGCTTATGTGGCTTAAGCTCGAACATAGATAACCTCCTAATAGATGCCGCCTGTTGAAAATTTTGTACTGAACCGAGCTCACCAAATTCGGAAGAAGACAAGAGACGCGGGGAATGCAATTAAGACGTTCTGATTCGCTAGTTCAAATTGCACTTACTAATTTTATTATATTACAAATTGCAAGCTAGTGATGGGCAACCTTTACCAGTCTGCATCCAATTAGTCAATAAAAACGATAATATTGACACAAACACAAATTATTAAATTCTTCCATGCTGATCTGGAAGCAAAAGAAAAGCATAGAATGTCTCAGCTACTTATGATTCCGCGCGAATCATAAAAGCCGATTTAGTGCACTAAGTTATACTAAAATTTTAATAAAAACGTTTGCTAATCGTGGCTAAAGTGGGCTTGTCTTACTCAAAGCTCTGCCTACCCCTATGGGAGACAGGCGTGACGGTAGTATGTATGTAAATTATTGAATGATTTACGACAGCAGGATGATATTTAGATACAGGAAAAAAGGAATTGTAAGAAAACAAGGTACGTACTTAGATATTATAAGTTGTCGTATTTACAAAAGCATAACTAATGAAATTAATTATGGCGTTGAGTAAGTTTAACGTCATAATTGAAGGTTTAGGTCCTACAATGTAAGGCGATAAGATAAAACCTGAATTTGTTATTCATTGTACAGAAACAGATCCAGAGCGATATAACTGCTTACAACTGTTGTATAAAGCGTTGCTTGCGCGTGCTGCGCAGAATTTCCATGGAACTCCACCGATCTCTCTTACGCATCAGCAGGCTTATAACTGGTAAGTATTACTTATATTCCTTTTGTAAAAACTCAAAGAATTAATTAATTAATTGTTACAACTCGAAAAAATATATACACCTTTGCAAAAACAGAACGGGCACCTAGGAATCATTCGTTCGAGTACCTACAAATTCTAGTGTAAAAAAGTTATAATGCACACTAAAATAATTAAAAATTATTTACTAAGATAAAAAATCTTTAATTATTTTGGTTTTTTATTAGTGACCTTAACGGTTAATTATCTTTTACTATGCAATGGTCACAAAGAAAAAAAGCTTTTTGTCAACTTTCCACAAATCTTAATCGTTTTTTTACACCCTAGGTTGAAATTGAGAAAAAGAATAGATAAATCAATTTCCAACTCGCCGGACACCGATCGCCTGTCGAAGAAATTTGAGAAAAAGCTAGCCGAACTTGTTGTGTCATCCACACCAGAGGACTTACGGGATGTAATGCAAGGTATACCTACTACGTATGCAATACTAACCTTAGTACTAACTTCTGATGAATTACAATTCATCAGAGAAAAATCAAGCAATGCTCAAATAAGTAAATTAGCAAACATTGATGTAAAAATACGTGTATAAGTAGGTTTTGGTGGTGGTGAATCTGTGTACGGTTGCAGCGCACCAGTGACATGATCGCGTACTGTAGCTGAGTATGGAGGCGCCTCCAAATTAGACGCCTGTAGAAGCGCTGCAGTGGCGCGAGACGTGTCTACTAATTTTCATACAAAATCTAGTCTGCAAAAGTAGCGTGACTGTGGCGCTGCAGCTGCGCTTCTTAATATTGTATGAAAATGAGTAATGGCGCGGCTACAGTGCCACAGACGCCCAACTGCAGCGCTTCTAAAAGCATCTAATTTGAAAGCATCCTTATTCTCAGCTACATACAGTATGCAATCATGATACGCTCTTATGGTCTCGTTGTTGTTGTGTGCTAATTAATTGCTTGTTACCTAGATTAGGGGAAAAAGACTTGGTATTTGATTTTGGTCGTATTGAAATATTGTTTATGGATTTTTTAATTTTCGTTGTCGCCATGCTCTATAGAGTTAAACTTAAACTGGCTATGATCAAAAAGAGATCTAAACATTTTGGGGCGCGATGAATTGACGCATTTTCCAATAGGTACATTTTGAAGACGTGATTAAACAGTCTTAAAAAATGATGAGAAAACTAATATATGAAAACTATAATAAGAAAACTGTAGTAAGAAAACCTACATGTATGCATATTTTTCTTCCGTACAAACCATTGACCTACCAAGAAATGGACGTCGGGTCTAATACAAAAACCGCGAAAATTCAATTAATTTTTATGTATATTATTATTTCTTGAAGTGAATTTGTACAAAATTCACTTCAAGAAATAATAAAGAATTGGGCAGATACATACATACAATTATTACAAATGTGAAAATAAGCGTGTACTATAAGAAATGTACCGATATTCCAACTAAACGTAACTTCAAATATCCGTAATTCCCAAAACCGATTTATAGTAAAATAGTTACGTTTTCATGTAATTTTGATAATTCTCACGAAAATTAGAGCGAAAATTAGCTTTTGTTTTGTAATATTCCTTATTATTATTATTATTATTAATTTTTTTAGGAATATTACAAATAATATTCCTAAAAAAATTAATTTTATACATTATGAAAATTCGAGCTAACGTTATTTCGAGCAAATGTATTTTCTGACTTCTGATAGGTAATCCCAAGCCGTAAAATAAATACAACAATATTTTGTTAGTTATTGCTAACGTTTAATAAAAAGTCATTTTAAAAATAATATTAAAATCAACACGACTCTATAGTTTCTTTGTTCCAAATATTCGCTTATGTTTCGAACAATTGAAAATGAGCAAGAAGTTATATAAGCTGCTTGAAATTGACGTAATGAGTCTTTTCCCATCTTTTGCGCAAGCAATGTGTAGAAAAAGGACAGTTAGCTATTTGATTATTTTGTTTGCTTTTGTAATTTATATTTTCGATTAATTTATATATAAATTAAATACTATACAACTGTACAAAATAACACTTTTAAATGATAACTATGATAACACAACTATTTGTTTAGTGAAAATATGATACATTAACATGTTTTTACATTTACTGCAGTAATTTTTACAAGTTATTATTATATAGTACTGCATGATTGACAACCGCGCTGTAATTCGAACAAACGAAGATTGTTGCGCGATAGACGCTCTGTATGCGATTTTAACGCCCTATAAGTGCGGACACATTTTACTACGAACCCGACGTCCATTTGTTAGTAGGTCAATGGTACAAACGTATTATATCAGCTTGCGATGATTCATCTATACCCATCGACAATGGAGCAAGTAACAATATATAATATACGAGCCCTATACCCCACCTACGGTGGGGTCGGGTTCGGCCTGCGGCGCGTGGTCGGTTTCAGATTGCGGGGTGTACTTATACTCTTCGGTGGCACAGTGATTATTACTATGGGCGCTTGATGAGGAGGTTCCAGATTCGATCCCTGATTTGAGCCAAAAAAGATTTTTAAATTGGTTCTGATCAGGGTATTCTGGGTATTGCCCTCAGAATTATCGTTACTCTTGTCTCTCATAGTACAGGAAATTCCCTAGTTTGAAATCAGAAATTTGGAGTGCTTGTCTGGCATTTTTTCCCTAAATACTTCTCTTTTTGGCATAGCTTCCAAGAAAAAATAATCAGAGAGACGGTCGAAATACAAAAATGCTATAAATATCTTATTTTCACTACATCGGGAAGTATGCCTTACATTTTGCCTGTAAAAACTGCGCAGGGTGTGGAGCAACATTTGTTTGGAGACCTTAGGGCTAAGATGTATACTTTGGCCGAGCAGCTGGGATCCTACCTGATGCGGAGCACATTTACTGTCTGATACTCACCAAATCCACCCAACCAAAAATTCACTTGTACGGCGGCCATCTTGGAAAATGTGCGGGATCCAAATTTCGTTCACAGATACATACTATGACCCTCCATACACGATCGGATGTCAAATTTCAGTCGGATCGTGGCACTTTTATTTCGGGCCGCCATTGTAAGACCGCCATCTTGAAAATTTTTTTGCCTACAGTTGGCTCGTACTATTTTGTACGACATTTGTTTGAGCGCCTCTCATCTATCTCCAATACTCGCCGAGATATAGGCCTCGAAACATTGTTGACGGTAAAAAATGTATCGCGGCCTTATTGGAAAACGGAGATATCAAAAATGTGACCGCAAATTCCTATTACGGGGTCCCAAACATAGAAAAATGTTAAATTTCAGCAGGATTGGAACACATTTTTGTCGGGCCGCCATCTTGAATCGGCCATTTTGAAAAAATAATTTCGACAGCCAGTCAGATCCTGTCGCCCTCTACGATATTAGTTTCAACACGATCTACCTATCTCCAATAGTTTCCCGAGGTACTGGCCCCCGAAATTTGTATGGCGGCCATTTTGTTTCTCGAATTTTGAATTTTTTTTCACTTTTTGTAGAAACTGCCCAGGGTGTGTATGAATATTCGTTTAGAGACTTTGAGCCAAGACATATACTTTGGGCGGGCAGCTGGGGCTCCACCTGATGCGGAGCACTTTCCGAAGATTACGGTACCTTCTGATACTCATCAAACCCGTCCGACCATAATTCCCCTACATCATCTTTACCCACCCGCCCGTCTTCTAGGAGAAAAATGACGCCAAACAACAGAAAATTCACATGTATGGCGGCCAAAAAGAAAAATGGCTGCCATATTGGTCAGTGAAAGGTCTACCGGGAATGAAAAAGAAACAAAATTCGAAAAAACAAGATTGCCGCCCACAATAGGAATATGTGGTGGAAACTTCGATTTCGCCATTTTCCGAGATGGCCACCATACCAACTACCATACCCCCGTCGCCCTCTGACATTTCTTTAGATTTTTTTTCACTCTCAGTAGAAACTGCCCAGGGTGTGAATAAACATTTGTTTGGAGACTTTGAGCCAAGACGCATACTTTGGCCGGGCAGCCGGGGTTTCCTCCTGATGTGGAGCACTTTCCGAAGACTACGGTACTTTTTAATACTCATCAAACCCGTCCGACCAAACTCCCCTACAACATTTTTACGCACCCGCCCGTCTGTCTTCTGGGAGAAAAATGACGCCAAAGGGCAGAAAATTCACATGTATGGAGGCCATCTTGGAAAATGGCGAAATCAAAATTTTGAGCCCAGTTTCCCATTGTGGACTCCCATACACGGCCGCATGCCAAATTTCAGTCGGATTGGACCACTTTTTTATGGTACCCAATTTTGAGGGGGCAATCTTGAAAAAATGTTTGCAGTTGACCCCCACCGCCCTATATGACATTTGGTCGAGGACCCCCGCCTATCTCCAATACTCGCCGAGGTACAGGGCTCTGAAATGTGTATGATGGCCATCTTGTTTATTCGAATTTCGAATTTTTTTCACTTCCAGAAACTGACCAAGATGGCGGCCATTTTTAGTTTGATGACCCTGCCGATAGGTGTTATACTTTAGCCGCGCTGCCGGGGTCCTACCTGATGCAGTCTACTTTATGAAGATTTCAGATTTTTCTGGTACTCACTGGAGCCATCCGACCACGACTCCCGTACACCATTTTTACCCACCGCGACTCCTTCTGGGAGAACAACTATCTAAATCACTGGGTCAGTCACTCAGTGGTAATCGAGCTATATATAGTATAATAATAATAATTATAATATAAAAGTAAAAAATATAAAAGAAACATCACTAAAATCTGGCAACTTTCTTTCAGATGTGATCATCGAGTCATCACACAAATTAGCGGAGTACTTCGTTTCTGCTAGTTAGTGTTCATAGATAACTTAATATATTTTGATTATAAACTTAAAACATATATATAAAAATGTTTTATAAACTTACTTAATTCTTGCAATACAGATTACAAGGAAACCGTTAAGACTTTATTAATATCCGAAATGCAGAGAAAGGGCAACGAACTACTTATAGAAAACAACAGTGGCGCAGAGAGCTACTTCTATGCCGCCCAAAGGTAATAATATGTATATTAGCAATGTAATTCAGTTATTTCAAAATTTCGTTGATTTTTTTACGGAAATGTTTGTCGATTTACTCTATCCAGTTTAATTTTGATGTGCTTATACCACGTCCCAAGAAGTTTGTGCCTCTGTAAGGTATAAATTGATTCATCGCAATCCCTTAGCACCTCACATAGTACCGCCAAGATAGGTGTGTGTCCGAGGCCGTGAGTGTTAACGTAAACATATTTTTTAACTCTGTTTTTCGTATAATATAATATAAAATAATATTCCACACTTTTAGGTGGTCCTGATTACCCTTTGTATAACTTGTTTATTGAAATATTGCACATTGCTTTTCTTAGGGCGCTCCCTCATCGAGAACATTCGCCTTCAATGTAACATTCTAGATTCGTTTGCGAGCATTACATTACAAACTACCTCCCTAACCGGCGAGCACTCGCCCGTTAACATTCGTTTTTGAGCATTACATTACAAACTACCTCCTTCACCTTGTAATATAACATCCAAGATTCGATTAGGCTGCGATTCCACCAGAGATGTGCGAGGTAGCAAGGCGTGCGTGCGAGTGCCTCTAAGAGCCCGCGAGTGCTCGCGAGATCCCGCAAATGTCCGCGAGTGCCCTATCTAGCTGCCCCTACAACCACCTTATATCGTTGAACAATTTTTCCACCGAGAAATTTCTGTCTGGCTCAAAACTGGAACAAAATCCGGATTCGCGCAAGAACGGCTGGATGAATGAAATGCAAGTTTTTTTTTATACTATCTAGTGACGGGACGAAAAAATCGTGCGCCTGATGGCAAGCTACACCTACACAGCCTGTACATAACAGTTGCAGTGCCACTCAGAGCTTTAAACCGCAAAGATCTGAGGGGTACTGCCACTGCGCTCGTCACCCTGAGACATAAGTTGACAAGTCCCATGTGCCTATAATTTCACCAGCAACCTTACCCTTCAAAACCGGAACGCGCAGTAATGCTAAAATTACTGCTTGGCGGCAGAAATAAGGCAAGTTATCTCATTCAATGTAGGTATTAAAATTATTTTCGCAGATTGAAACTAGAACCGGGTTCTCTAGATGCTAACGAGCCGTGCTTCAAGATTGCATATGACTTGACAAAAAAGCTGGAAGATATGATGCGTCACCGCACTATGCCAAGAAAGTATGCCGTCACTGCTAAAGGTACACATGAAATCTTTACTTCAAATATTTACTCCAAACGCCTACAAAAAACGGAACGCATTTAATCATCATTGTAAAATAAATAAAGTTATTCACTGTCATTGAAAAACCAGAAGGTGGTACATACCGTCTATGCACAAGTTATTTACACCTAACTGCTTATCTGAAGTTCTATAATATTGTTCTAGAACACGTCAGGGAAGTTGCTGACTATTTGTCACCAAACGTTACGAAACGACGTAAGTAATAGCAGGTTTTGTTTCTTAAGCGTTAAAACACGTTAATGGTACACTATAGTCAAAATGAAGTTACAGGCCTATTGCTTAACTGAGTTGAGACTGACAGTGAAAGTGGACCACTTACGCATTTAAGGTGGGGTTTTCGTTAATATAGCTCTGTTAAAAAACAAAACTTTGCAGATGAAAACATCGAAGCGTACGTCGATTTATTAGCTGAAATGGAATCTACCGGCGATAAGTTACTTGTTGAGGGTGAAATTCCTAAGTCTTATAAAGACTCCGCTGCTTAGTAAGTTTTTGTTAAGAGTCGTACTTAACATTAGTAAAAGCTTTCCATTAAGGGCGGGTACATGTTAAAATTGAATAAAACAAGTCGTGTGTGAGATATCAACAAATTTCTGTGTTTTATTTAAAAGGCGTATCGAAGGATTTTTTGTCATATTCCGTTACATATGGAATATAAAATCGTTCAAATGGCCACCGCGACTTCGCTGGGAGACGCGCATCCGAGTAGCCTAATTTTCAATAACTTTGGCGCATATGATTAGACTGAATTTGAGTGATGAAATTGGTTATGTTGACTTTGAGAATACTTTCGTTTGCGGCTAATTAAGTAAGTATTAAGTCAATGGTATTAAGTATTAGACAACATCACACAACGTTGCTCTGATCCCAAAGTAAGTAGCTAAAGCACTTGTGTTATGGAAATCGGAAACAACGACGGTACCACAAACACCCAGACCCGAGACAATCTAGAAAAGTTAGTTTTCTACACTGAAGTTTCTACACTGACCCAGCCGGGGATCGAAACCGGGACCTCAGAGATGGCGACACCATGAAAACTGGTGTGCAAGCCACTCGACTACGGAGGCCGTCGAATTTAGTCTATTGGCATAGACTTGCGACTTAAGGAAACCCCACAATAAAAAGTACAACGGGGTTAAATCGCACGCTCTCGGTGGCCAGTTCGACAACGTGAGATAACCATGCCCTCAATCGCTCGTGCGGAATGTCCATTGTGGCATTAGCAGTTCGCCGTCTTAGAGGAACCGCACGTCGGTCACATTCATATCATAAAAAATTGATTATCATCGATCGGTAGCGCACTGCGTTGACGGTGATGGCAATGCCATCGTCGTTTTCGAAGAAGTACGGACCGATGTGTCGCCCACCACCCACACCAAACAGCGACTTTCTGCGGATGCATCGTAAAATCGGTGCAACGCGCGCATCGTTGCCATATTAGAACACCCATTTTGATAATAAATTGTTATTATTTGCATGTGTTGTTCGACGCTGTAACTTGCCTGATTTGTCTTTAGGGGCTGAAAAATAAACTATTTGACAAAAGCAGTCTCAACAACATAACCGCTATGAACTGTCAAAATCTAACCGCCCTTGATGGAAAACCCTTTACAATACTTATATACTTGTTGAGTTGTTATACGAATTAATTAAGTATATTACATTTTCTTAATTATTTGTTGCCTTTTTAAGCTGATGGCTCTATAATCAATGCTCAATAAATAGATAAATTTACATAATACCCTTCGTAGTACTTTTTATGTATTTAGTCATTGTGTCCGAACCAATAGGTAGGACGTTAAAATCGCATACAGAGCATCAATCGCGCGTCATTCTTTGTTTGTTCTACTGACAGCACACGTGTCGATCATGCAGTACTATCCTAATAAAAATTTTATAAATTTCTCAAAGTGCATAACAACAAAACAGGATTTTGTTTCATAGTTTAACTAAACAAAATATTGTGTTTATCGAGTTCTTTGGCGATTGTAACACATAGGAAAACCTATTTTTCCGGATTATATTATATGGATGATATATTTGCTTAAAAAAAAAAAATATACGCGATTTAAATCCGGAAAATAGTTTCATTTCCTAAATATATTGTGTTATCACAGTTATCATTTAAAAGTGTTATTTTGTACAATTGTATAGTATTTCATTTATATTTAAGTTAATCGTAAACATAAATTACAAAAGCAATCAAAGTTATCAAATAGCTAACTGCCCTTTTTCTACACATTCCATGCGCAAAAGACGGAAAGAGACCCATTACGACAATTACAAGAAGCTTATATAATTAAACTTCTTGGTCTATTTCAATTGTTCGAACCACAAGCGATAAAAACATTTAGAACAAACACAAGAAACCATATAGAGGCTTTGATGTTAATCATAATTAAAAATTTTTTTTTTTGATAAATATTAGCAATAAATAACAAAATATTGTTGTACTCGTTTTACGGCTTAGGATAGGCCGAAAATCCATTTACCCGAAATAACGTTAGCTCGAATTTTCATAAACCCAAATGTATTTTTTTAAGAATATTACAAAACGCACCTACGATAAGTTATTTTTTTTCTTATGAGCATCCAAAATTACCAGAAAGCGTAATGGATTTATTACAAATTCATTTTCGGGATTACGGATGTTTGAGTTTACGTTCAGTTGGAATCTAAAAATTCGAAATATGTACCGACATTTCATAAAGCACGTCATAACTAACAAATGTAAATGTAAAAACAGGATTTTGTATAATATTTTCATTAAACAAATATATTGTGTTATCATAGTTATCATTTAAAAGTGTTATTTTGTACAGTTGTATCGTATTTAATTTATACAGTGTGTTGATTTGCATTCTCGCCATATTTACACAGGTCATTCTATATCCGAAACTGAACCCAAACCCAAATCACTAAAAAAATCCTAAATTCTTATTTTTTATTGAATTGCGGTAACCAAATTTGATCCAAAGGTTAGGTTAGGTTAGGTTAGCACTTGCACTACACGTGCAATAGGTGCCGACAACCATTTGAACAATGACGTATGCACAGTATGCGCAGAAAATATGCATTTTAGATATATTTGGTGGCAGTGTACGAGTGGATACGGGGAGAGTATCGTATCGAGCGCGTGTTTGGTAGATCATCAGCTCACCTTGCGTATTGCGTCTGCATTCATCGCGCATACGTTCTAGTTTCTCACGAAATGCAACGTGGTTTGTGTGTGATGTAAACAAGAGTCAGTGCAAAAAAAACCGCTATCATGTACATTACCATAAAGTGCGTTCTTATGGCATGATGTGAAACATTTAGTTTACGCAGATTACGAGTGTCGAAGAATTGCGGCCAAAAATCTTCTCTAGTTTCTTTCTGCTTTTTCTGTTGTGAAGAATGTGCTAAGTTGAAACGAATCTCTGCATGCAACTGGCTCCGGTACGGAGCCTGCCAGAAGCTGTGGAGCTAGGTACATCTAGCACTACTTTCATGTAACCTAAAGTTGGTAAGTACCTAATCTAAGTTATAAAAATCTGTTTTCACTCAACTTTTGTAACTCATGTAAGTAATTAGTTGTGTTATAACAAGACTAGTACATAAACATGATTTAAAAATAGATAAATAAGCGATCGAGAAATATTACGTATCGCTCGGTGAAGCGAGTGGCGGGGTCACTGTCCTCTGCGGTGAGTACACTTGCGGGACAATTTTACAAAACTTTACTAGATACAATTAGTCACAATATTGAACAGAATATTTTTTAAATATCTGTAGATGATTTAGCATTATTTCTATTATTAATTTCTTAAATATGGCCGGAATGCAAATCAATAGCCTGTATATAAATGAATCGTAAATATAAATTACAAAAGCAAACAAAATAATTATACATATAGCTAGAGTCTGGCAAAGCTAACTCTGCAGTGATCAAGGAGCCAATCGCGCTAATTGTCAACGGTAAAACCAAAACCTTAAACCTCGCCAATGTGACACGTTGCGTACATTTCGTATCGCACTAACTGTCAAAAAAACAAAAACCAAAGCCAAACAAAAAGGAAACGTTAGACGTGTGACACGTTACGCACATTTGGTATCGCGCTAATTGTAAAAAGGTAAAACCCAAACCTAAAACGTTGCCAATTGGTATCGCGCTAAATATTTTAACGTTTTAACCACCTATGTAACCTTGGGGAAATGGATTTACCTTTGACAGGTTAACGTTTCTGTGGCAGTTAATGGAGAGTAACTTTTCACTACGTTTATCGTATATTAAAGATGTTCCACGGTTATTTAAATGTTTCGGAAAGTGTTTATGAGGTGGATGTGCCTAAGAACGGGCTTTAAATAAAAGAAAAGCATAGATAGACGATCACATTTAACATGTCTGAGGAGAAATTCCGCAAACGATATACCGTTTGTCAACGGAATTCATTTCAGGATTGGTGGAAGAACTATGCCTACATATTCCCGTTAAAGGACGGTTTGTTGCTTTGGATGTGGAGACAAAGGTAAGGGTTAAGTGGAATCCGATAGTTCTCAGTTTTGCATAATAACCAAATTTCTATACTGTGTAAATCATTATTAATTTTGTTACAGATTTTAATAGCTCGTATTGTTTTTAACAACTGGGGCGTACCAGACCCCCCGTTGGCAAGTGCTTATCACCCTTTCCCAAGCCAGTGTCAGTAAGGCACAAGCGGTAGCTGCTTCAAATAAACAAGTTATTATGAATAAATATTATAAATAAGCATATGCAGCTTCCCTAAATGGCATGCCGAAAGGGATGGTATTAAAAGGTGGTGAGAAAATAAGCTTTACAATGTACATCATCTTTGTTAGTTCTTGTCTTATTTCCTGTTATTATTATCAAATAAAAATTACAGATATAGGTAAAATATGTATAGTTGTATAAAAAAATATGAAAAGGTTACAATTTATCTCTTACACTTGAGTTTATACAACATCGTCCCCTTACAGTAAAGCCTCACATATGCATTTTCAGTTTGTTTTTACTGATTTTTGTTGAATAAAAATTAATAATGTAATAATATAGTATCTAAAAGAGGTATAATTTAAGTAATTAAAATGCTAACTACACCCATTATTGCATTTACTGTACTTTACACCATATTTTTATCTTTATCCTGAAAAAATACATAGAAATCCCATATGAGGTATTCATTCTAAGATGACGATGTATACCTATTGTAATTGTTTATTACCTTAATATCTAAATTGATGTATACTTTTAAGGGGTTGAAATAAAAAAAGAGTGTATTTTTAGTTTATTTATTGCCTCAATCTACCCCAAATCATCCTTCATTTCCAGAGCGATCTTGCTTTTTATTCTTCAACGAAGTCTGAAACAAAATATGTACACTTCTGGACACATCTATTGGCCCACCTTAGAGTTTAGGTTTCGATGGCCCCTACCGAAATATGATTGCTAGATTGAACAAAAACTGTTGATGCAGTTTTAAACCTGATACATTTTACCATCTTTTTCGATCGTATTGTTTTAAATTTGAATTCAGAATACCATACGACATGGAGCTACGCCTAACAAATCGGATATGCGCCTTGTTAAAGGCAATTGATTTTTGAATAAAAAACATGTTTTATCAAATAAAGGTTTAATTTAATAACGCGTGTTGTCTCCATGGGCATCTACCACAGCTCTCATACGATTAGGCATAGAGTTTATCAACCGCTCTATGAAATTTTGAGGGATCATCTCCCATTCCTCTTCTATGGCAGTTTTCAACTCCTGCATCGTCTGGGCAACTGGCTGACGAGCCCTAACACGTCTTTTTAGCTCGTCCCACATGTGCTCAATGGGGTTCATATCTGGGCTTCTGGCTGGCCAGTCCATAACTGTGATGTTCACATCCCGAAGATATTCCCTGACGATGCCGGCCGCATGGGCTCTTGCATTATCATGCATAAAAAGGAAATTCGGGCCCACATAGTCCGCGTATGGTATCACGTGAGGTTCTAAGCACTCACGAATGTACCTTTCAGCATTTAATGTTGGCAGCCGTGGTCCTGTAACAACCTCAAGTTGAGTTTTGCCGCTCGCGGATATACCGCCCCAGACAGTCCATGAGCCACCGCCATAAGCAACCCTCTCTTCAAAGCAGCATTGTGCGAAACGCTCTCCCTTACGTCGGTAGACCTTCTTCCTTCCATCATTGCCATGTAACACAATTTTAGACTCATCAGAAAAGAGTACACGGCTCCAATCTTGCTGTGTCCAATTTAAATAACTGCGTGCGAAATGAAGGCGCGCTGTTCGGTGGGCTCGCGTTAGTTTGGGCCCATTAGCTGGCTTGTGTGGTACCATATCGCGTTCTTTTAACCTTCTCCGAGCAGTTCGAGCGCTCACAGATACTCCGTGGAAGTCGCGAAGTTGGTTTTGTATCTCAATGGAGGTAAGGTGACGATTTCTCAAGCTGGTCGTCACGATGAATCGATCCTGCCTTTCAGTTGTGACCCGAGATCGTGGCCTTCCTTGGCGACGAACAAAGCCGCCAGTCTCTAGGTACCTCCGATAAACATTTCGGACCGCAGATCGACTTAAATTAAGTTGAGCACTCACGTTTCTTTGGCTGTGTCCGGCCTGAATAAGTGCCACAGCTTGGGCGGCGACTTCAGGTGAAGTATCCATAGATTATTGATAGAACCTCACCTTAATGTTAAGAATAAGTAATGTTTGTTGCAAAACCAAAGATATCAATCACTTTTTCAAGAATTAAATCCAAGTAAACCAATAAAACCAAGTTTTCTTAGTATTCGATTGTTTGATATCAACAAACAGGCTCCAAATTGTCTTTTGTTTCTTTAAATTCTGTGTTCGAAATTCAAAAAAAGACTATTGAATGAAATTGTGAATGTGCCAGGTTCAAAACTGCATAAAAACTTTTTGCTCGACCTAATATAAAATTTTAGCTAGGACCAAACGAAACTGAAAATACAAGGTGGGCCAATAGATGTGTCCAGAAGTGTATACCTAGTAAGATTGGAGACCTAAATTTAAGACTGAGCCACCCAATGATGAAGGGTGGTGAAGCTCTATACTCCTATGTGGGGTCTTGCTTTCTGATAAAGAGCAATACCTCTCATGAGAGTAGTGACAGGTAAAGCAGGATGGGTAGTCATATATATACAGTATGAAGCCAACATAAACGCCAGAATGTTTAGGGGCATTTTCAAAATAGATTTAAAAAAATGTTTATATCACTGTGGAAATATAAAGGGGACATATTTTCTCCAATCATCTTTAGTTACTAATGAAAATGCTTCTTCAATTTTTGTGACCATCTCGTTTGTGCTTGCCAACTTTTCTTGAGCTTGTAATTCAAATGTACATAAGTCTCATCTACATACACAATAGATTTTCTCGGTTCAACTGGCTCATTTCTTAGTGCCAAAATTGTTCTTATGTACCGATGTCTCCAAGCAGCTACTTCATCTTTTTCCATTAGTACAGTCCGTTCTTCGGTATTCTTCGTAAATTCATAACCCATATTCAATAAAATTCGCCTTAATGTTTCTCGGCAACCATCAAATTAGATAGCGTCTTTTAATTCTAATAATAATTTTGAAAGTGTTGGCACTTCTTTTTTGTCTAATAATAATTTTGAAAGTGTTGGCACTTCTTTTTTGGTCAAATAATATTCATCTATTTTATTTTTAATTCGAAATTATCAATGTTAACTTGAGTTCTTCCTTCTTGATCACGCTAAGAGTTCGTTCACTTACTCCTATAAAGAAAAAAAGGCTTTAATGAATTAATACTGTAAACCTCTCATAAAAGCGATTTTCTTCACATACTGACTTTCGCTGGAGTTGAAACTTCTAAATCACTTAGGTTTTGAAGAGCACTTTGCAAAAGAGGCTTAAAATAAAATATAAAATTTTAACAAAAAATCCGGGTGTGATGCCTTTTTGACTGAAACTCATACCAGGGTCTCCACACTTTTATATCACAAAACTTCATACACAGACGTACGCATTGTAATAATAAGTACAATAAAATTTTCTGTCAAAAATAAGAACAATACTATAATATAGTAAGTACTATACTATAAGTATATTATACTTATAGTAATTTACAAAAGTATCATGACTACTTCAACCAACTTACTGGTCAATGTTTTAATATCATCCAAATATTTTTGTTTTTGGATAAAAACAGAATCTTGCCGCTCCTTCACTATACGGAAATTACTTATCATTCTAAATAGTAACTGCCGCACATTACTTTTCAAAGGTTTTACCATTGTTTTAATTTATAATTATATATATACAGAATTAAATAAGAACAACGTTAACAGTTTGACACTTGAAATACCACGAAATTAACAATAGAGGACATGTATGAAATGTTGCAAACATTATCCTTTTAAGGGGTTGCCGATTTATTCCAAAGCAGACTAAGCTTGGCTGGACTCTAACTGTCCTTCTTCTACGCTTTGCATGCGCGACCCATTATGTCAATTTCAAGAAGCCTATATAAACTTCTTGGTCATTTGCAGTTATTCGAACTACAAACGATTGAAATATTTAGAACAAAGAAACTATAGTGTCGCTTTGATTTTGATCTTATTTTTAAAATGATTTTTTATTTAACTTTAGCAATAACTAACAAAATATTGTTGTACTCGTTGTACGGCTTGGGATTACCTAGCAGAAGTCAGAAAATACATTTGCCCCAATTTTCATTATGTCAAATGTATTTTTTTTAGCAATATTGCAAAACAAAAGATAATTTTGTCTACGTGAAAAGTATTAAAATTACTTGAAAGCGTAACAATTTTTTATAATTCGGTTTTCGGTATTACGGATATTTGAGTTTACGTTTAGTTGGAATACCGGTACATTTCTTATAATACATGCTTATTTTCACATTTGTAATATTTGTATGTATGTATCTGCCCAACTTTTTATTATTTTTTAAAGTGAATATGCACAAAATTCGATATAATAATACATATAAAAATTAATTACAATAAAGGGTGCTCCATTACTCTTAGTAATTTTCAGTCGAAGCTAAATATGGTGCATTTTGTTAAGTTTCCAGTAGAAGCTGAATTTGGGTTTTTTATGGCCCTTAAATTGTTGCAAGCATAATTAGGCATTACTGCAATGACGTTACAATTTAAATTAAATGTTTTAGTTTTTTTTTTAATTTCGTTACATGTCACTACATTTGTATCGGTTAACTTCGGACTTTTTTTCGTGGTTTTTGTTTTAGACCCGACGTCCATTTGTTGGTAGGTCAATGGGAGACAGTTATTTATATTTGCATTACATATTATTTTATTACATATTATATTATTACTTACACATATTCTTTGTATTTGCATTTATAATATCTGGCCAACTCTTTATTTCTTTAAGTAAATTTGTACAAAATTCAAAATAATAATAGGGGAGCGTCTTCCCCCACGCTACCCCTACTAAGGAAAATTGACAATAAAAGTCATAATTTATGCAATTAAAGTTTTTATTAGTTATGAACGTACGCTTCACATATCTGGGTACTAAATAAATAAATAAAAAATATGAAACTATCTATCGACGTAGATATCATGGCAATAAATGAAACGTGGTTAAGGGACGGTGAAGAGGGCCGCGCGCCGTCGGTAACTGGCTACCGATTGCGTCATATTCCCCGACCGCCCGCTGTGCGCTCGCGCGGCGTGGGGTTGGGTTTTACATACGACGGGGCGTTGTTGTCCGTACACTACCTCAAGGTTCAATTTTGGGCCCTATTCTCTTTATAATCTACAGCGCGGATGTCATAGATCAAATAAAATTCTGCAAGTATCATATTTACGCTGATGATATACAGATTTATATATCTTGTAAACCATGTGATACTCCTGAAGCCGTGGATAAGTTAAACGAGGATCTAGAACGTATAGCCTCTTGGTCAGATTCAAATTCATTAGTGCTAAATGGCTGTAAATCCAAATATATGGTGCTGGGTACAAAAAATCAAATAGCGAAAATTAATAGTCGTAACGTTACTTTGGCGATCAGGGGCGTGAACATTGAGCGAGTAACTGAGGCTCGGAATCTTGGACTCCGTATGGATGAAACACTTCACTTTGAGAATCATGTGTTAGGCATCGTCAAAAATTGTTTCTATAGGTTAAAGGTATTATATAACATCAGAAATTACCTTAATACCGACATTCGCATTAAGTTGTGTGACTCACTAGTTCTGTCAAAATTTAATTATATGGACGTGGTGTAGGGGCTGCGACTGTTGAAGCGCACGGAACAACTAATTCCGCGAGTGCAGAACGCCTGCGCAAGGTTTTGCTTTGACATATCACCACGCACGCACGTAACCCCTTACATAAACAACGCAAATATTTTGAAAATGAAAATGCGAAGAGATCTACACTTAGCTACAGTTCTGTTTGGGGTTATAAAATACAGAATCCCGTCTTATTTGGCTGACGAGTTGATATGGTCCCGGGATGTAAAGACAGCTTTCACCAGAGCGTCAGCTTGGTCGCTAGTCCTGCCGCGCTGTCGCACCGCCACATTCCGTGGCAGTTTCAAATTCGCCGCAGCGAAAATATGGAATGTTTTGCTGCCGTCGCCACTCCGTAGTCTACAAACGGTGCACACGTTTAAAAGAAAATACAAACAATATCTGTTAGATATTCAAAAAAATACCGTATAAGTTAACGTGGGCACTCACCGCTCTGTTTTCGACTTATGGCATTGGAGTGCGGCGGTCATCGTCATCAATGTTCTGCGTGCGGGATGGGGCAAGTGCGAATGGCATTTTTACGCTAATATTTTCGGTTGTTTATTTTGTTCCTGAAAAATTTTACTGATTATTACTATTTGACATATGACACAATTCTTATTTAATTTTTATATTTCGTAATTAATATACAATTCATTATACAATTAAAATTATTTATGATAATCTGCAATCGGTAGAAGTTTTAAATATTGGTACATACCTTTTATGGCATAGGAGACTGCACGCTATTATGCGTGGTAAGTACCTACGATACAGGACGAAACCTGTTTGCTTGCTCGTGAGCCGGGGTCCCCTCTCGCGCGCCTACCCGCTCGTCTTGCGTCGCCCACGTGACACAAATCTCGCAATTGATATCTTTTATAACTAAATAAGTCCCATTTTTGTTTGTTGTAAATAATAGACATTACATTGCATATGCTTATCACTGCATATATGTATCAAATGAATTATTTAAGTATTTTATAAATATAAGAGAACACACCATACTACATTATAGAAATATATACGTAATTTATTTTAGTTTAAACGCGACACACACGTCCGGTACTCACTCGGTTTTAGGGTCCACTGAAAATCAGCGTCACAGCCTTGTCCCGGCGGTGACATTAGCTGAGTGGATCCTATTACATACGCCACAGCCGCACACATAACATCTACTTCGTACAGCAATAGTGTTGACCAGTTTTATGATCGAATAATTATTTATTGCCAAGATTTTATTTTTAATTAATTTTATTTAGTTTTCTTTTTTTGTTATTCATTTTCTGTTTGTTTTAATTTAGTTTGTTTTAAGTTTTATTTAGTTCTGTTTTATTTTAATTTTTTTTTTACTTTTAATTTTTACTATTTATTATTGTGTTGTGGTGTTTTGTAATAAATGTATTCTATTCTATTCTAAACTAAAACAAAATATTTGGTTAAAACAGAAAAAACTAAAACATGTCATTCGCTCTCATTACCCCACAGTTCGGGAAATGGGAGCCGGTAAGTATTCTGTAAGTTAAATGGGAGCCATTATATATAATCAGTCTGGAAAATCAAAATTAAAGTAAATGAAATATGTAAGTTAAAAAGTAATGAAAATAAACAAGAAAGTGTTAAAGGAATAACCAGTGAATATTGCAATGGGACAAGGAGAGCCAAATAGCTCTCATTACCAGCGTAACATCGAATTGAAAAAGGAATGAAACAGTAAAAACATTTCTATTTTTATTGTGATTTCAAGCATAACTTCTAACATTTGATAGATTTGGTGACATAGCTCTAGTGTAAATACAAGGTAGTATCTATGCATTTTAATGCTTACCTCGGATGATGAAATTTAGCAAATTTTATAAGCGCGGAGCGAAAAACATACAATCTTCTCGTACGACTTAACGCGGTGTTCTACGGGGGCGCACACGGGGCTCGAACCTTGTCGAACGTTAACGAAGACATAGGAGTGCTGTTTGCACAAATACGAGCATTGGGAAAGTCCAGTTTAACACTGCTCTCATTACCCGATACCACACGTTCCCCTATATACAATGTGTTGATTTGCATTCTCGCCATATATATTTACAGAAGTTATCCGAAACTGAACCCAAATCACAAAAAAATAAATATCAAAAAATAAATACAAAATTCTTATTTTTTATTTAATTGCGGTAAACATCGATTCGCAATTACCTGACCCAAAGGTCATTTACTTTTGCACGGCACGTGCTGCTACAAAACTTACACGTAGAAGGCCGACAAAGGAGTTCAAAGGAGTTGCAACTAGATACAATTAATCAGAATATTGAACACAATTTTCAAAATACTTTTAGATGATTTAGTATTATTTATATGATTATTAATTTCTTAAATATGGCGAGAATGCAAATCAACACACTATAAATTAATTTATTGATTTACATTGACTTACAATTATATGGACGTCGGGTTCGCGCTAAAAAGTGTCCGCACTTGTAAGGCGCTAAAATCGTATACAGAGCGCCAAACTCCGCTTTAGTCTTCATTTGTTCGACTGACAGCGCGATACTGCGATGACATTACAATTTAAATTTCGAATAGGTTGACTTGGGACATTTTTTTCGTGGTTTTTGTATTAGACCCGTCGTCCATTTATTTGTAAGTCAATGGATATTTACATTAAATTAGCCTCCCCCACCCACAGTGGATTTAGTACAAGGAACCAAAATTTTCATTAAACATTTTTTTTTTTCATAGTTTAAGACGGCTAACGTCATTCCAAGATAAAATTTGTCAGCCAAACTCGAGTTTGCAAAGTGATATAGAAGGCAAACTTAAGACACTGATGTCAAATGCGGAGTCCAGAGTCCAAATGCGGAGTTATGGCAAATCTGTTATGGACAGTAAGTAAAACTATTGAAGGTCTTTGAAGGCCTTATTTTGAGTACAATATTTCTTACATTTAATTCTCCTCCAAAGTGCCAACCCTGAAAAATAAGAATTTAACTTTGCGATATCATTTGCTGACGACCAAATTAATACGTGAATTATTTAGTCATATTTACATTTTTACTTACAGACGTAATCACTGAAAATACGCGCTTGTTGGTATCCTACATAACACTGCAAGGTAATCAATAGATATTGTTTTATTAAAGGTAGATGTTATCTTTCATTTACCTTTTCCAATGAATCTCTTTTAAGCAAATAACTATTTCATTGTGTAGATGACACAAGTTTCTAATAGGCGTACTGTTATTATTGTATAGCGGAGAAGACAAAAGAACTTCAGAAAATCATAAAACTTCTGAACTCAGCTGGGGATGCGGTTCTCTTGCGACATGGCGACATACGCAAAACTTATCCTGACGCCGTTGCACTGTAAGTATATTAAACCGCATGTAGGTACAGACCTACATGCGGTGACAGCATTCTGCTCATAAATAAGTAAGTTAATATCTTATATTACTCACTCACGGATTTTTAGATTAAAAGGAAAAAATACTGATCAGCTTACTGTTGAGAATCCGGACCCCGTCGCAGCGAGAAAAATTCAAATAAAAATGCATTGCTTGATGCATGGGCCGACTGAGAGCCTAATTACAAAAACGCCACTCACAGAAGGTGAGTGAATGTTGATAATATCTATACAGAGTACATCTTCACTTGCACGATATTCAGAGTAATAAGTGACACGTCATTTGTTTCAGAGGTCCTCGAAGACGTCACTAACTACTTGGCGGTCCACCTGCTCAAGCCTCGTGAGTAGTTTTGCTGCATCGCTCTATGTGCTTATTTTATTTAAAATACACTAGGCAAAGACCATATGTTCTTTCTTGATGTTCATTTGCAGAAATCGTGAAAGTGTGCAAATGCATGAACAACGTGTTCGTGCAGTGCGAGTTGTGGTGTGAAGAAATCCTGCGGCGGGTGGCCCGACCTTGCTGCACGTGTTCGCGCCACGTGTCTTCACAAGCACTGGAGGATCTGATACCACTGGGCCCTCGCGTAGACTTCGAACCCGGTGTGACGAGTACCTTCGTCCCCGGTCTGGAGATCACGACGGGCCCATGCCCCTCAACAAGCTTCTCACGTAGCACCCAGCCATCTGTATGCCCCGGCATGATCCCAGAGGCTGGACCCTGCAGCAACCTAAAGCCCTCAACGCACACCTATTTCATGCACGCGGCTGAACACTCAATATTCTCGTGGCCGGGTCACAAACGTGCATCCCGTCTCACCCACCCTGCCCATACGACTACAGCTACATTGAGTGCCACCCTCCCCGCCCCCATCTTTACTGACTTGACGTCGACCGAATTGTATTTATCGTCGCCAGACTGGGTTGAAAACCACTTTAAAAGTGCCAAGAATAAAAGCCAGGAGGATCAAGCACCGATTACTACCTCCTCTTCTACCGACCGCATTCCTAGCCTCTCTAGCGGAAATTCGAGGGAGACGTTCGTATTCCAAACCCTTCCACCCAAATCTGTAAGCCGAGATGTGGACACTGATTGGAATGTGCTGAAGGTGCCGCATGGTTCTAGTCTGCATGAAAGTATCAATCGTCGCAGCGTGTTGCTAAAACCTAGCAGCTCTATTTCTGACACTTGTGAGTAATTCATAAACAACAACTAATTATCTTATCAGTCACGTCAATCGGTTTTAAATATAGTAAAGAATTTTGTAAAATATATACGTATATGTATATAATGTGTGTGTTTGGATTATGTAGCATCGTCTACATCGATCGTAACAACAGATCAGATGTCCGATTGGCATGCGATGATGGTCAGTCTTATGTGGAACGTGCAAGCGTGGCGCGATTGGCTGCAGGAGAATATCAACCGTGCTATAGCTTTTACTGATGTTTCCCATGGTAAATTCAATCATACTTGTACTATATTTTTAATAATTTGATTTATTTTTATTGCTTTTATTTTTAAATGTCCTTTAAGATAATGTCGCGGATTGGTCGACCTATTTCGAAAATACTTCGACGGAGGCTATGCAATGGCATCATTATAACAGTTTCAGTCATGCACTAACTATGCGACTTGCGCTCAGATATAAGGATAAGCGAGTGAGTGGATATATAGTATTTGTAAAGTATTAGATGGGCGTCAAAAATCCAGCCAAATGCAATCTCTTTGAGACTTACCAAAATGCACAATGTGTTGTCACATCAGGAGGTCTACTCTCGATCTCCGTCCGACATCCGTCCGAAACAATTACTGCCAAATAAGCAATACTTGACCAAATGAAAAGACGCGTGATGCGAATGAAGCTTCATATTTGATACTTGTCTTTTAATTTTGTCGAATATTACTTATTTGACAGTAATTGTTTCGGACGGATGTCGAGAGTAGACCCCCAGACTTGATGTCCTATATATATAGGACATCTAGTAATAATAATAGGGGTTAAAGTATGAAATTGCCGATTTGTACTAAAAATCTAAATTGTTTATTTTTTAAATTTTTAACAAATTTATTTAAT